AAAATATTAAAGAAAATTATAAATTTAAAGTTATTTAAATAGATAATCAAAGTTTCTTTTTGGGCTTAATAGATGAAGAAATGTTTAAAAATCCTAATTCTTAATTAATTAAATTGACATAAAATTCATTTCATTTGAATCATATTCTTATTTTTTGAAAACTCTTTATTTATATTCTAAATATTTTCCTACATTTAAAATGGTCCTTGAAATTCATTGTATTGAAAATAAATTTCACAAACGAAAGTTAAAGTACTATATTAAATGTTTTTCAAAAGTTTAGGGGCGGCTAAATCCCCCTCCCGGGTCATTCATTGGCTCCGTCCTTGACTGTGAAAACTAAAGAAATAAATACAGAAGAGTTTATATATATATAAATACAGGAGTTATCAGGTTTATAATGTATAACATATCAAACAATCAATATTAATTAATAAACTAATAATTAGCAATTTAATGTCTTATTGACGATCAATGGTTCAAATCTTGATAAAAACACACAAAAACATTAATTTTTTTAAATATATTAAATTTATGTGAGTAATGTACTTTTGAAATTGTTTAAAAAGAAATTAACATAACACCTTAATTATCTTAAAAAAAAAAAAAAGCAACTTAATTATATACATGATACAACCTTTCACGGTCCCTACCACCTACCACCGTAAACCAAAAAAAGCGGGCGGGGAGGGAGATCACAATAGCAACTTATCTTTCAGCACACAACTTACCGTATAATGTCACTTCCACTTCTACATAAATTTTGTACTGGCATTCCATTTAGGTATTAGAGTTACATGTAAATTATGAAATCTCTGGATAGTACGTAGTTTGATATTCATGCTCATGCAACTCCTCTCACCGTTACGCATGTTCCAATGTGCATCAATAGAAATTAAAACTCTGGGCATGACATCCACTTTTAAGCATCCAATCAAAATCCATTTAGTAGCTTGGTCTTATATAAGGAAGCATAAAAAGGATCTCTGAAACCACATTTTTTTTACCTTTTAGATGATATTAAGGTTGTATTTAATGACTTGGCTATTGACCTAAGGATTTAATAAAAATACTAAAAGCAACACAGACAATTCAAAAGCGAAAAAAGATGAAAACATCTAGGGATAGTAATTTCCCTCAATTCCCGTGGGGCTCTGTGGGGATCCCCGTCACGGGGATGGGGCGAGGATGGGGAGCATTTTCTCTCCGTGAAATTTCGTGGAGAATTTTTCTCACCCCATGGGGCTCCACGGGAATCCCTATCCCCGCAAAAATTAAAACAAATATAAATTAATTTTATTTTAAATTTAATTCATCTTTTAAATTCAAATCCAAACACAAACTCAAACTCAAGTTCAAATTCAATTCAATCAAAATTAAACTTAACCCAATTTTACCTAACCCAACCCAACTCAACCCAACCCAATCCATAAAAATTAACTCAATTCATTCCCCTACTTACATTTAACCTTAACCCTAATTCATTTCTCAATTTTCATTTTCACCTTCCCCTCCATTGTTGGTTTAATTTTTGCTTATGTTTTAGTTTAACTTAGATTAATCTTTGTTTATGTTTAGAACAAATTTGTTAATTGTTGGTTTAGTTA